ACCAACCCATGAATATCTGGAACACCAGAGGTGTAACCGGCCTTTTCGGGATTAAGGGCTCGTACACAAAACTGCGATGCGACGTCGCATCGCAAGAACTTGCGAATTGATTCGCATCGCGCATCAAAATCTTATCTACCCAAAATCTTCTTTGTTTCTTTTTCCTGTATCTCCTAAGCAATAACAGAAATGCACACTTCTTTTTGTGACCAAACGAAATCGTATCGCAGCAATTCGCATCGTAATTTTATGCGTTGCGTATTCGCATCACATCGCAGTTTTGTGTACGAGCCCTAAAACTCCTGTGATACTCAGACGGCGAAACATAATGCAAGCGTTATTTCACTAAGATTTGCTGTAACAAGTGGCTGTTACATTTCGGGCCTGTTTCACAATAGGTGTAACAGGCATTTAATTTTATTTTATTTTAATATCGTCACCTCTGTCTATTTCAGGAAATAACAGACCACGATATTTAGTAATATAATACCCAGTGAAACGATTGAGCACGGCATCGAGTATCGTCCCACGTTTTGTCGGTGACGTCATAACTTTCTCTTGCGAACGGGCTCCGTGACTCACCTGTGTATGGCTACGAACACAGCGGTAGGACATAGGCGATCGATGTGGTGACGACTGAGTAGAATACATTTGTCAATATCCCTAATCTTTCCGCTGGTGTCCTAAAACCCGAATAAGAGATTGACAGAGACCTGGCAGCAGTGCTCTTTGATGAACGTGATCTTTTTGGTCTCTTACCCGTCTACCAAGCGTGAAGACTATGGCAAACCCCTTTCTTATAGAGGAGGCCCGTAGCTAAATTGACGTAAATGTATTTTAATGGCTTAGGGTAGCAAATATTACGGCGCGTCGCGTTCCGTTGGTACATAAAAGAGCCATCACACCACCACAGATAGCCCCCGTAGACCAAATGTCTGACTGCGGAAAAACGCAAAGAGCTACCGCGGTTCCGGCTCGAATCAGAAATTGGAACGGAATGATTTTTAGTGTGCAAGAGTCTAACATTCCCTCTCCTTACCCAGAATATTTAATGATTTCCTGACTTAATCAAAAAAAGGACAGTAAACGACCAGACGAATTACGTGATGGTAAGCAATCAGAGCCGCCCATGGACACCCTCACCATACCAAAGGAGTTATAATTGCAATTACAACGGCGATTCAGGGTTTAAAGGATTGCAAATTTTACTTTGAGTTGTATTTAAGTGTGGGAGAGCCATGCTTCGGCACGAATGGGCCGGCTCGACAGGAGTGATACCATGGCCGAGCAGAAAACCGACGTGAAGCAACGCTTGCGTTGTTTCGTCGTGTGAGTGAGGTTACTGGAGGTCCAATTTCCCTCCCCTTCCCCAATCTCCCCTATTCCTGAATCCCCAACGATCCTTAAACTCCTAATCCCCAAAAGGCCGGTAACGCACTTGTAACGCCTCTGGTGTCCCAGGTGTCCATGGGCGACGCCGATTGCTTACCATCAGGTGATCCGTCTGCTCGTTTATCGGCTTATGCCATAAAAAAAACAAAAATCGCTCATTCCTTAGCCCTACACGCAAAGTCAGTCTGTCTACCATATCGCAATGGCTATAAAATCCCTCGATATTTGGCAGTGGACCATAAAACACCTAAATGTTCTTGAATTACGTATGACATGACATAGTCGTTTATTCTGGAATCTTTACATAAGAATACGGATGTTTTTATACGGAAGGGGGTAAACAGAACTGTACGTTTATTGGGCTACTGAGTCATTATCATTTTAGTCATAATGTTCTCGAAAATGTCGTGGTGGCCCGGGGGTTTAAGACGCTCGCTTCGCTTCTCATGCATGAGAGTGCGGGTTCAAAACCTACCAACGCCAAGTTCCAATGTGATTTTTTCCGAATTATATATACTTTCTAAAATTATCTAGACACCAATGACAAACGGTAAAGGAAAACATCGTGAGGAAACCTGGGCTTATAATTTCTAATTATAAGTTTGTAATCGCCAACCCGTATTGAGCGAGCGTTAGCATTAATGCTCAAACCTTCTCCGTGTGAGAAGAGGTTTTGCTTAGCAGTGGGCATTTATAGGCTGTTGATGATCATGATGATGATGTTCTCGAAGAACGAAGAAGGAGAGGTCTAGAAACTGCATTGAACAAGCATGGTAATTTCTTCTTAAACCTTCTTAGAGTGAGGAGAGGCTTTTGCTCAGCAGTGGCCACTTATAGGCTGTTGATGACGTTGATGTTCTCGAAGGAATTGGCAGTTGGTGTATTCACCAACATCAAGAGGACTATGGACCTCCTCTACACAAGAGGGTCTATCATTATTACCATACTTGGCAGGAAAGTCGCAGCAGGTATCAGTTTGAAAGATTCAACTTTACCAAAGAGCGCTGCTGTCCAGTCTATGTCAAATGTGTAGACTCTTAGTCGGGTCTTACACACCCAGGGCAAGAGGGACGGTGGTGAAAAAAAATGGCATTTATAATCATCATATCAGCCATAGGACAACCACTGAACATAGGCCTCCCCCAATGATGTCCAGATATGCCAGTTGGAAGTGACCTGCATCCAGTGGCTTCCTGCGACCTTAATCAGGTCTGTCCACCTTGCGGGTGGACGTCCTTTACAGTTATGCTGAAATAAAGTCATAGTCCCTAATTCGGCTTATAACTATGTCCTACCCATGACACCCACGGGAAGAGTAGGGGTGGTGAACTGGTGACAAATGTATTCTACGCCCGCTGCTGTCACAACGCGGCATTTATTATTTTGCCAAAACAAAATTTACTAACAAAAACCTAAGTAGGTTTCATGAATAACAATTTGGGGTAATCACATTTGTTCTGAATTGGGCGTTTTTTGTTAAAATCTTCACGCTACATGCGTTTGGGTGACGAGTAGTACCTACCTACTTAGGTTATTATGTAGCCTTGACACTGATATCCATTCTGTTGAAAAAATAACTTTACATTTATATTTTCGTTTTGTATCAAGTAGATTTTAAAGAAACGTAATAGATACATAAGTTAAGGCATTGTTTAATGATTCTATTACGATTTTGTTACGAAAAATTTACATTAAACTATGCAACAGAGGTTTCACTTACTTCTTTATATACTAACACTAATAAAATTGAACAGTTTGTTCAGATTTAGGTACCTACATACCGGTAAACATCACTAGACGATAAACACTCAACACTCATTCAACAGCCGTAATCCCCATGCTTGGCAGACAGGTTGAGGAGCACAGCCGCACAGGTATGACTTACTTGACTTAATATCCTGTGTCCCCTAGATGGCGTCCACTGAAGTTCTCCATCGCGATCTGTCTTGAGCTTCACGCTTCACCACACTCCACGTCATACCGATGCTCTTCGCTTCTGCCAGTACGGTGCGACACCAGGTTTGTCGAGGACGGCCACGCTTTCTTTTCCCTTGGGGATTCCAATCCAAGGCTTGCTTGGGTATGTGGTCAGGATCCCTTCGGAGCGTGTGCCCTATCCATCACACAGGTATGTCACTGACAATTTATTTATTTGTTGATACGATTATTTGTATGCCTAAAATAAGGTGATCTTAGCGCACTTTAGTTTAAAAATGAACAACTAAATGTACCTATGTATCACAAATAAAGGTTTCATTTCATGTACACCATACAGCAGACAATAATACAGAGGACAACACATTAAAAGCATGAGGTACATACCTATAGTAGGGGAGCCCACGATGCTAAATTTGGATTTACTCGAGCGTCGTTGGAACTTACTGGATTTTAAAAATATGGTGATAGAAAGAAAAAATGGTTTAGTGACAATTTCTTACACCGGTGGGGGAAGGGGGAATCCACAGATCTTTGAATTTGTTACGCGTAACTTTTGTTCTAGTGGTCGAGCGTGTCAGATATTGATAATGTACATGCTTCATGTGTCTTTGATAATAAAAAACTCTTAATCTGCCAGTTTGAATGGTGGAGTTGAATGATCTGGAGAGTACCAACGAGAACCCTTCAAAATCCCCCCACTCTTGCAAATCAAGTTGGAATGGGCACATTTTTTAAATAGGTACACTTCCTTTAGCATGGTATTGACCTACCTTCCCTAAATCTGACGAAACTGACTTTATTTAGTCAGACTTTTTTTTTAATTTTTGGGCCCCCCTTTCTAATCAGATCGGATATATGGTGGGTATATTCAACAGGACACTAGTTTTTCCCCATATGTTAATCTGACGCGCTCTAGTAACTAACTACCGAAATCCCTTCATGGGCTCCCCTACTACTACGTATTTATTCACCTGAAAGACTAGAAATTGCTGTTTTGTTTATGTGATCAACAAAAGAAAGATTGCTAGATTTGGTACCTACATTAATTCACCTAAACAAGATTTCTTATTCGTATTTATTGACGTTTGTATTCATGAATAAACAAAGGAAATGGATCAAACAACGTAATATCATTAGCAGGTACACAGAACCAGTCTATGAATTCTAATTAGGTAATACCAACAATTGCGTAAGAAGAAACAGGAATTAACACTTCATATTTACATAATAGATGCAAACGAATTAAAAATTGAATGTGCAATTCGTAATCGTTTTGTTAATAACGGAATAATTACATGTGAACGTATGAAATATTGTAATTCATGCAATAGTAACATCAATGTGTTTGAAGTGTGGTTTAGCGACATCTGTGTTACAATACAGGTAACTTTATGAAATGGAGTTCTGTTTTGTGATTATAGATGGCGGTAAGCTTAAGGTAATGAAATGGTTTGAATGTTTTATGTGAATCCAGCCAGCAATACTATTATTTAGTAATTTGTTAAAATAAAATTATAACTGATGAATTCGTGGAAAGTTAAAAATTACAAAACATTTTTGAACGAAAACTTTCCATTCATCGTGACATTTGGTTGACATTTTCTGTTTGACAGCTGTAGTCTTCGTGAGAGAGAACGCGAATTTTGGCATTTGGCAGCACTGTGCCGCGATTGCTCAACGCTGTGACACGGTCGGTCATTGCCACACACGGAAATAATTAAATATTACAACTAAAATTCAAATAACGTGTACGTGTGTAACAAATAAAAAAGAAATTTCGTCATAATAAAATATTTTATCAGTCAGTGAAGTGGAATTGTGTTGAAAAAGTGTTCAAAATAACTTTTTGTTTGGTGTTTTAAACAGTGAAGTGTTTCAAGATGAGTAATTTTACCAAGTTTATCAAAACTACGCCGATCACCGATGACTACGAGATCTCAAACACAGTACTCGGCCTTGGAATCAACGGAAAGGTACGTTACATTTCTTAAAATCATTGTTTTACTTTAAAAAACGGATCCTCAAAGTTGTTTACATATGACGTCACGTTTTAAAATTAGACTGTACCCGCGTCTACCTTTATCTCATCACGAGAGAATGACAAAAGAATTATAATTAGCTCTGGTTTTTAAAAAGTTGACGATGTTTTGCGTCATTGTACCTTATAATGTTTTTACGACGCGTCGTGCTGTTGAAATAAACTTTCTTGGAATTAATAACAATCGTTCGTAACTTTTTCAAACTAAAATGATGAATAAACTTCATTTAAATAGACGAGCGCGGTAAACGTGTCGCGTCTACGTAAATTCAAATGTTGACGCAAAGGTATGTAGGTAATTCAGCCTGTCATTACATCTTGTTGAAAAGAGGTTGTATTCATATTGCACAATTATTTATTTTGATTTGTAACTAAACGGAAATAGTGATAATGTTCTGAATTAAATTCCTGGTCTGGGGGATTTCCAACTAGAAACTGGGTATTCCCGAAATTTAAAAGTTTGATTTATGTTTTTTTTTTTAATGTTTCAACAGGCTGTGAAAGCTTGTCTCCTTTGCTTTGTTGTGCAATAAAATATTAGGTTGATAGTAAAGTTTTTGTTTGTTTCCTTTCCCTTTACAAGCTTTTGAATTAAGAATGGCAGTTTATATTCATAGTTTTTATTTTTGCAATAAAAAGGTACTTAGGTATTCAGTTTTTTTTTTTAAGTTCTTTTTAGTTGATGAATAACACTTATCAACATTACTGCACATATTCACATTTAAAATATTAGTTTTTTTTTAAATAGAAGAAATTTAAAAATAAAACCTTGCACCATTACACAATCCTGGAATGATTGAATTTTAATCTGTATTAATATTTAATAGATAAAAGACTGCCGGTAATTACCCACAGAATATTAAAAAACGTGAATGCCAAAGATTAGATAGTAACAATTATAAATAAATAATCAGTCGACTTGTATTTTAATGTCATTCCAATAAAATAAACACAAATTTCAACTTGTGTATCTACAGTTATGGAACATCCATTATATCTGTTCATACATATTGTGGTCTCTATTGTTAAGAAATAAGGTCTATAATGGAGATGGGATATGGGTCACGGTAACCACTTGGGGACTCTGCAGTTTCCCTAAATCCGTAACCAGGGATGCACATCATTCACCAGTTATGAGTCCAATATAATAACAGTCAATCCCAGGTCAGATACAGTTCCACATTCGCTTGATGTCAAGTTTCGGAAAACCAGAGAAGTCCCCAATAATACTTCCAGAGTACATTTGCATAACAGTGAGTGCACTTGCAGATACTGAATCAATAATTTAGATAATATTATAATACTAAAGTGATATATGTATTTTTTAATGTTGAAATCTATATTATTTATTTCCAACTGGCTTCTGCCTGCGACTTCGTACACCCAATCCCGTTTTCTTCCGTTCCCATAGGATTTTCAAGATTTTTCTGTCATAAGAATCTTCTCCTGACAATAACAAACGCAACAAAAAAAATCAGCCAAATCGGTCTAGCCGTTCTCAAGTTATGGCGCGATGTTTCATTTATTTTATTTATCTACATTTATATTATTATATAGCGTTAGTGATGCTGCAGTGGTTAGTCTATTTCATGCAAACAATTATATTGGTCGGTACTACAGGCTGCCTTGCTGGCCGAGTGGTCGACTGCCGGTCAAGGGTTCTCGGGTTCGATTCCCAGGTCGGGCAAAGTGTTACTGGGTTTTTAAAACAAAATCTCAGTAGTAGGCAGCACGGAGTCTGGAATTGTGCCCGGTATATGGCAATAGGCTCACCCCCTATTACATGAGACTCATAATAGTGAAAAGTGGGTGTTACATTGTACAGTGGCATTAAGTGCCGTAATGTGCACCTCTGCCTACCCCTTCGGGGATAAAAAGACGGGTTATTATGTAATTAGTTCGGTTGGTACCTACTTTATCAAACTAAGGCTTTGACTGCCATAGAAAACTGTTGGATTCAAATCTTCCACTAACATTGTTTATCAGTGACCCCCATAACGTTTAATGTGTAGTAGATAATTCTTAGAACAATATAATAAAGTCATAAAACTAATTACTAAAGAGACATTTGTCATAAAGTTATGCTTAAATCCTAGAATAATGTTTAATGTTCCAACCAGACGTTATACAGACAGTTTTTATTGTTTAAAAGTAAATAAACACCGCTATATAATTAGTTAGTGCTATGTTATGTTGTATGTGATGTTAGGGCATAAATGAACACGCAGGTTTTAATCACTTTAAATAGGATTTATTTTAATATTTGTACACAAACAGTTTACACGCGGCTAGCGACGCCGCCGGCCATAACTTTGCGACACTCACACATATACATCCACCTAAACACTCAAACAATACATCTATATGCGCAGACACAGGCTCATCGATCTTCGTACTCCTACATGATAATGTCTAATTTTTACTAAATAACCCTCGGACAGATACTTTATTGTTTAGATGTGTTAATTAACAAAAATAAGGTTCTTTTTCATTGTAAAATGGGTGTTAATTTAATTACCTATAATATTATAACAACTAGTAATAACTGACTGCCTCATTGGCTCAGTGATCGCAAGTGCGTCTGTGGAACAAGAGGTCTCGTAAAGTACTTTTTTTTTTAAGGGAGGAAAATCATCTAGTGACTTCTCCCGCCTGGGTAAGGCGGAAGGGAGTCTCAGACTTACTGACTGAAAACCACCCCGTTTCTTCTCCTGCACTTCGAGCCGGAGCCCCGATAACTCCGCGACCTCGTAAAGTACTACGGGCCTGTCCAGCATGTCCTAACACTCCCATTGTCTACCCTTTACCATATCGCTGAGAACCTAACGGGTTACCGGGGCTCCGGCTTGAAGCGCAGGAGAAGGAACGGAGTGGTTTTTAGTCAGTAAGACACTCCCTCCCGCCTCACACAGACTGGAACAGCCATTCGATGATATTCGCCTCTTAAAAAAACCCTTCACCATGCAAGGCAAAGGATGTTTCCTTACTGCATTCTTCCGAGACACAAGGACTTCGGACTCCGAGCTACACATGTCGTAATCTTCCACAAAAACTGGAATACACCTAGCGAATGATGACTATGATATCATACAGCGAAATATCACCATTAGTATACGACTCACGTATTTTGTAAATGTAATAGGTACAACAAGACAGTGAGTCATTCGGACGAAAATTTTATGTGTAACGTATTTCTTTATTTGTTGTTTATTGCGAAACTTGATTTTCTGGTATTTAATGGGCATCTCGTCGTTAACCGTTGAGAAATTTTACAACATCAACATGACAACACACTTTGAATGGGATAAGCCAGTAAACGATAAGACGGATCACCTGATGGTAAGCAATCAGAGCCGCCCATGTAACTACACCCGCAACACCAAATGCGTTACAAGTGCGTTGCCGGGTTTTTGGGGATTATGAGTTTGGGAATTGTTAGGGATTTAGGGATTGGAGAGATTGTGGAATTGGTGGGGGGTGATAATTGAGCCTCCACTACTGGATAGTGGATCTCCTCTCCTCTAAATAACAGGATTTGCCATTTTTGACAATCGGGTTGGAAATGACAGCTGAAAAGGTTGAGGTTTATCAGAGAGCACTGCTGCCTGGTGTCTGTCAAATATGTAGTCCCTTATCTTGATTGTTAATGACCGATCTTGATAAAAAAATCTCGGAATTGATCCATGTTTTTACAGACACTCAATAACTAGGTAACTACAACCAATGTCAATAATCAGTCTAAATCTCAAAACACCTAGAAGGTCCTTACGGCACCCCCGCTAGAGAAAATGGTGGTGCTTTGCCAAATACTGAAAAATTTGAAAATTTTTTTCCCGGAAAACCAAACGTCTGAACACAATAAATTCCAAGTAAAACCATATTCAGATACTATATCTATAGACATAACGACATACGTATATCTATTTATCATTAATCGTTTACTGATAAACTTATCAAGCGACTGGATGAGAAGTACTCTACGTTTCAAATTACTGATTTTTAAACCGAATTTGGTGACAACATAGAAGAATTTGTAACCAATCACCACCTCTACTCTTCGTGCGGGCATAGCTGACTAAGGAAATACACATTGATAGGGACCGACTAGTTGCACTCTGTTGATAAACCCGAGCCTTTCAAAGTCAAAGTCAAAGCATTTATAAACCATAATTCGGTACTTTTTAAACGTCAACAAATAAAGAAATAATAATATCTGCCAAATCAGTCCGTCAGTAAAGCTAGGTGCTCATTCCAAAATGTAGATTCGGATGGAGAAGAACGAGCAAGAAACTTCATTAGTCCATTCGTTACAATGTTCTTTTGAACATTGGCTTCAAGTCCGCCTACCAAACGAGGGAATTGTGGCAGCAGCCTCACGGCCAATTCATCGTCATCAAGTAGACTATGAATAACCTCCATCTTACGTGGGGTTTTGCCCTCTTTTGGCTACCGAAAGTTTAAAAGATGCCCTTACCAATCCCTCGAATCTAACTCGTGTAGGCAATAAGACTACATAACAAGGTATAGGAACATTGTCCTCTTTTCTTATATCTTTCTATTACCTATCTATCTTTTACATTATAATCTTCTTGAGAAAACAAACGTCACAGTGTTTGACGTCCAAATCCGTATTAGCACAATAATATTTTCATATTATTATTATGAATGGGGCCGTCGGTAGAGGGCGCCCTAGACGGACATATAGTGACCAGATTGGCGATGTATTAAAGAAGGGCCAAATTAAAAGTACCCTTAACCGACGAGCATGCATGAAAAGATTGATGACTGTTAATGAAGCGAAAGAGGTATGTAAGAATCGTAGTAATTGGCGTTCCTTAGTCTGCCTACCCCCATGGGAGACAGGCGTGAAGTTATGTATGTATGTATGTATGTATTATTACCGTGGTATTAGTTAGTTAATAAGGCACTTAAAAT